CCTGACAAGAAAGTTACACAGAGAACGACTTCTGTAGCTCCAGCGACGATCTAAGAAAATCTTTAAAAAAACTGCACTCGTGAGCTGAATGGCGCCACCATGAAACGAACCCACGACCTTCAGAGCGTGAGGCAAACGGCTTTACCACTTCACCACGGAGACCTCCAGACCCCAAGAGTCTGTGACATCATCAACTCTTTCGGTCTCCGAACATCAAAGCGATGTCCGGTTGCGACAGTGATGCCGACATACGTCATCCTCACGGAGCCGCCTTGGTGTAGTGGCTAGATGCTCGCTTGCAGATCCAAAGCTCGTGGGTTCCAAACGGTGATAGACTTTAAAAAAAAATCAACTCGGCTCCTAGATCGACTCAGCTTTAAATGGGTAGCAGGTACAAGTCATGGGAAGTAAATGCGGATGGCGTGATACTGACCATATCACCCACCAAGTACCGATTGGTCTAAAAAGTTTAGGTCAAGCCCTATACGTCTAATACGTCAGACGGCGTGGAAAGTGTAATTTACTCGACCTTTTTATTTGAAATAACTTTTTAAAAAGCCAGTTGTGTATAGGTGGCTAGATTTATGTTCCTATATACCAATCAACACTCAGTTGGTAATGCTGTCAACATCACATCGACTGCTTTTACTTCCCGTAACATTATCTGCTACTTATTCTTGGCTGGTCGATTTGGAAGCTCAGGTTATGTTTTGGAGGGAAGGGGGGTGGGGTGGGGTGGGGGAGGGGTGGGTAACAATTCGCTTCTTAGCTGATTCGAATCGAAAACGATCGAAGCAGCAGCTGCTACTAAGGATATATATATATATGGTGATCAATATTTAAAGAACTGACATAACAGCACATCGTGCATAACAATAGCTACTTCTTATTCCGCAGTAAATATCTTAAGGTGAAGATTTAATTTTCCGTAGCAAACTGATTATACAGACTTCGTTATCTTCCTCTGATACGTTACTCCTTGACAGATCCACTTCTAATTCCCCGTTCACACATTCTTATGCATGTTATTTTATCTAACTGCGCGTATTCTATCAGCGATCTTTCATCAATGGACTTCGCTATGTGCTATTTGTCCAGTTCGAGTTTCCTTGTAACTATCGCATAGTAATTTACAATGTTCAAGTGGGGAACACATGGTGCTTTTGGATACAATACACAGAACAACACTTAACAAAAAACATGCGGGAAGGAAACACTGACGACAACAGAAGTAGAAAAGGCCAAACGGATAAATGGCAAACAATCAAAAGTTTCACACCTTAACAAATATATCGAAAACTCCCGAAATGATCAACACGAATGTTTACACGAGGCCCATGTCCTTATGATTTTGTTATATTACCCTGTACTGCGGTTTCCTCAAAAGTCTTTGATCTTTGTTTGACTAATAATGTGTGTACACAGTGAAGAAAGAAATTAAAAAATGTCTGGGCAACTACTAGTATCAGCAGTTATAAGACAGAGAAGAGGGTGCTGCATTGGACACATCCTGAGAAAAACCAGCAGAGAATCACCAAACAAGTATTAAAATGGGAAATAAACACATTAAGGAGGAGAGGACGCCAAGAAGAAACCCTAAGAAGAACGTTCATGAAAGAGACCAAAGCTGCCGGACTAGATTCCATCATGATATTGCACTGATTGCACTGGATATAACGGAATGGACGAATAGACTGCGAGCCATCGGCGACGGGGTCCGTCCATTGGCTGGCCGATCTGAGACATCAGCGACGGGGTCCGTCCATTGGCTGGCCGATCTGAGACTTCGTCGCCGGTCGGGACAGTATTTGGGCCCGTCCCTCTTGATCGCATCAACACTGTAGGAGTCCTGTTTCAGGGCTGTTTGGTGGCGAGCATTGCTAAGCTATTTTATATGCGCACATAAACCTTGTCACAATTATAACCAAAAGCTCCCTCCAATCCCTTCTGGGAGATGCTAGCTAAACATAAGGACTTTTTATTTGTCTTTAGCAAAGCAAGCAAGCAAGCAAATCTGCGAGCCCTGTGTGACGTATAATTGCACACTAGGATAAATAATGCTAATTATCTGGCTTTGAATCGATGTCTGTTTTTTCATATATATCAGATATGTCAAAATGAAAACTATTTGTTTGTTTAAAACATCTTACGTACACAGAGCCGTTACTGAGCTTTATTAAAAAAAAAAAAACAACTGGGCACGGCTAATGGAATGGATTACAACAGAATGCACAAGCATGAAGTAAGGTGTTAGAAAGCCACAGACAGCGCTGGAGATACAGGGACAGCGATTAAGAACCACACAAATTAGTTCATCCATTACCGTAAACTTTCATCAAGGGAACGGCACTGAGTAATGACAACAATGAATAACATAATAACAGCAGTGGCGTCTGTGATGGAGGTATCTGTGTCTGACAGTTCATATTGGCCAGTGTTGGTTTGTATAAATTTCTATCATACAGTACTAATTGTTGCCAATTTGTTTTTTTTATTAGAACAACAAATAAACAATTTCCAGTTAATAACACAAATATCAATTCATATATACTGAGCCACATTCATGGAAGTAAAAGATCCACTTTACGCATGTTGCGTTTTGGGCATACAGACTCATAATAATATGTTGAAGATTAATCAGCATTAGATGCATATGTAAACACAGTCAGTTAGTCACAGGTAAGACAACACATAACAAATTCTCGAAGCTTCTGCGATCTTCACCTGCGCCCGAAACTCTGCATTCAGACAGAAATGGTTCTGTGTTTACTGCTGCCCTAGGTAAAAACAGACAGTCATGTTTGATCGTTGTTGAAATTGTACTTTAGTTATAAAGGATTCACTTATTTGCTTCATTTATGTGTTACCTGATTAGATACAGCGAAACATGCCAGGCAATAAGTAGTGCAATCTATTGTTTGTGTCTTCTTTGTTCAATACGAAACCATTTTTTTAATTGAAAAAATGTTTACGTTGCGTTAAGATTCAAAACAGCATGAGCATGTGAAGGGATTAGGCATGTGTAGGCAATGACCAACCCAACATACAGGGTACAATACATAACCCGACACAACATACTTCTAAAACCTTCATCATGTAGCAGGTTCTTTGAAGAACGTCGCTCTCATCAGGATCTGCCTGAGTAAAACTCGGTCTCTCGCCAGCTCTCCCGCCTCGTGCACTTTCATATTCAAGGAGTCACTTTTATGCTCTGCCCATCTTCGTTTTCGTCGGTCCCTGCTTCTCCTACCTGGTACTATGACTTCGGCTATGTTAATTTTTTTTTTAAATTCTCTTTGGCATTTTTGATATGGCTAACATATTTTAGCCTCCTAAACAAAGTGTTGTTAATCAGCCTATCTTCCTTGATGTTCAGAACTTTTAGAATTTCAGTATTTCTTTCCTTCTTTGTCCATTCTGATATATTTCTATAGCATTTTAGCTCAAAAGCCCCTATTTTCGTCCTTAAAGACTGGGAGATAGCCCATGACTCACATCCGTATGTTGCTACAGGGAAAATGCATACTCACAAAATTTGTTGGTGCATAACCATATATATTTAATGATGCTTACTCATTGTGTTACAATGGCCATCCTGCTTTTAGCCTTAGTTGAAAAGTCTCTATTGCTGTATATTATGGAGCCTAGATATTAAATGTTTGTGATATTTTCAATTTCTTCGCAATTTATATTTTTTTTAGGTGAAAGCCAGTTTTGTCTGTTTTCTAAAACCCTAATTGGGAAGAGGGGGAGGAGGGTGGACGGGGAAAGGCATGCATTTATAGAGATGTCCCGTTTTTTTTTTTTTATTGCCAAAACATTCACGTCTAAAGTTAAGGGAGTGTGTCGCCGTAACAAAATCTAGCTACAGAAACACGAAGCCTAGTCACAGAGATGGACAAAGGTGGGTGTGTCTGCATAAATACAACTCAAGCTGAAAGAAAAAGAAGACGAAGAAATAGAAAAAGCAGCAGCAGCAACAGAAGAAGAAGAGGGGGAAGAAGAAGAAGAAACATAAGGTTAGCTGGGTATCTTTGGGGGCTGCGTGCCTTGAGGCAATATGTCCGCCTCGAGTGCTAGAGGTTCCGGGTTCAAAACCCTGTAAGGGCTAGGGTTTTTTCCACATGGACTTGGACTTCTAGTAATACCCCTTGGTCTCTGGGTAGTGAGATCGGACGCCCGTGTATATTGTTGCGCTCGTAAAAAATCCGCCTTAGCAGTTGGAAATCAAAAAAGAGTAGCCGAACGGCACTGATCGGTCAAAATTTGGAGTTAAAAATCTACCTAAAGTATTTCAGGATCTTCGCCGGTGCTACAGAGTCTGTGCACTGTGCTAAGTTTTTTTTCGGAACTTAGACCTGACTTAGAAGAAGAACGGAGCACTTATGGGTTACTACCTGTGTGCCATGATGTTAATCTGTTGTTCGAACTTTAAACCCCAAACCTGGGTATCCTTTAGTTGTTTGGCAGAACCAATCCTAGCATTATCTGACTATGTGGTGGCTTAGCTAGGTCACTTTGCGCGGAGAAGTTTGCCAGTGCATTGACAGGTCGGCGCTCCATACAACTGCCGAAATCGACGCAAAGAGACCTGCTAAATGACCTGCAGTTGACTCGAAAACGTCGGAAACAACTCTAAAGCGCGTGCGAAACACTTAAGCCAAAGATGCCAAAAACAAAATGTCAAGATACCAGTAAACTGTTTTTTCCCTAAAATGGTCCCCTTTTAAGAACTGTTGGGAACCGTTGTGTTATAACCTTTCTCCACTGAAAAAAAACCTCCCGACATAAACATCGACTCTTGTGTTGCACTACAAACGAAGACCAGATATACTTTCTTTGACACTGTTAGCATGAATATTTATCTCCCCTCATTTTATGTGAGCAGAAACACAGAGGGGGGTCAGATAAGCCAGATTTCTTTGCCAGCCAACATTTTCTGCATAGATTACAATGCCCTGTATCAGTGAGCCATCGGACCTTCTCTGGCGTAAGATCACTTGTGGAGGAATTAGTTCTCGTATGATTTTGTATTTCAATGCATTTCTGATCTACGCCCCAGCCCATCGATGTCAATCTGCTGCGGCGAATTCTTGCATACAACAGCGAGGCAGATGTTCACGCTCACTGCCTGCAAGATATCCTATATGTATATGTCTGTGACAGTATGGATTGTGTTCTGTGAGTGTATGTATGCATTTGTGTTTGTGTATTCATAGGGGTGCATATGTGTGTTTACATATGTGTATACATGCGTGTATATGGATAGGAATGTTTGTACGAACGCTATACGCACACGTGTCTGTGTATGTGTATATTGTAGGGCTGTACGGAATAGTGATTTTCACTATTCAACCCAATACGGGCTGTCCTGAAACAAAAAAGTGATTTCATCGATCAGGTGCCTTGCCGACTGACCACAATCTGCGATCTTCTGCAGCATGTATTAGTTCGTGTGCTGACACACCTCCATGCCATGCAACAAGACTGTCAAGCATCTTCTCTCGGTGTCTTCCTCTATCCCTCCTATCCACAGATCTTTCCAGTGGTCACTACATGTTCCATTTTTCCTCTTCTCATAACATGGCCGAAAAATGATGACTGTCTCCTTCTGATGTATGTGAGTAGTTGTCTTCAGGCTCTCGCCTCTCTCAAAACCTCTTCGTTGCTTTTTTTTTTTTTTTTGGGGGGGGGGGGGGGGGGGGGGCTGTCCAAGATATTCTAGGCAGTGTTCTGTAAAACCACATCTCTAAGGCCTCAAGAAATTGGCCTGCCTACCGATAGCCCACTACTCACAACGCTTTGCCCTAAATAAAAGGGCTTACTTGACGAGGCTAACAGTTACTATTGTACAAACCACATTTTCCACTTTAAAATTTCAGGCAAAATGTAATCATAACCTTACTTATCAGCTGCATCTTCACGAATACAGAGGGAGAATCGGTCGCACCTCGAGATAAATACAAAGACAATTTTTAGCCCACTGAGGTTTGCATTTTATGTAGTATGATACACTTTGAGTTTAAAACAATTAAAAAAAAAAAAAAAAAAAAACTTTTTCGACAGTGGCTAGGAAAGACAAATTAAAATTTAACTTTTAAGAATTTTCATGCCTTCTTTAAAAAGGTCACAATTTATAGCCGACTTTTCTTGATTTTCGCACCCCTGGCATACACACCCAGTTTGAGAACTTCTGCTGTAATGCCTCGGTCGATTCAGTAAGCAAAGACCTTGCCAACTGCTGTACCACGCAACTGGGTCGCAGTTTCCCCCGCTACGACAGAATTAGGCAATAGCAAACTATTGTGTTAAAGAGAGAGTTGTTTCAGTCTATCGCAGTGTATGCAGAAACCAAGTGTTAGGTAACCAACTATTCGTATTCGGCCCGACCGCAAGTATTCCTCCGAATACCGAATAGTTATTAGGTCCACTATTCGGCTCCGAAGCGAATATTCGGTACAGCCGTAGTGTGTGTGTGTGTGTGTGTGTATATATATATATATATATATATATATATATATGTATATTATATATATATATATATATATATATATATATATATATATATATATATCATATATATTGTGTTTTTTGTTTTTTTACCTATAGACTCGTAAACCACTAAACCGAGTTAGCTAAAATTTTTTAGGATATGTTTGTTTCGAATACCGGAATTCTACCTGTCATGGTTTGAAATAGGTGGTGACATTTGTTAGGAAAATATTTTATTTTAGCGACATTTAATTAAAGCCACGTTCGTAAATGCGCATGCGCAGTAGTTGGAACGCACGACTTCCACCATTCGCCGGCGTGGTGCAGCAAACCGGTCTCTCTCTATATCTGAGCAGGCAATGATTACGACAGTACCCATATTAGACAAGATTTCTATTTTCTTTCCTTTCAAACAACATTTGATGAGTTACAGTAGTTGGTGGATTTATTGGGGGGGGGGGGGGGCGGGGGAGTGGGGCGTACCGAAGACTATCTCTGTGTCTTCTGAGACAATGATTGCGACATTAACCGTGTCAGACACGTGCGATTTATATTCTTGTGCTGTTTCAGTATTAGTTTAAGTTTACATCTGTGATATCTGTCTATGAGAAAACAATTGCGTGCCGTTTTGAGTTGTGATATAATCAAGATTCAGTAGTCAGGACACAAATCGTAAATAGTTTTGTTCTCTTTTCGTTGCAAAGAAGAAGTGGTTGGTTGGCCAAACGGTCAAAACACTGGGACAAAATAAATCCTTATCTGCACTGTCGTAGCGACAGCACTAGCCATATGGCCCTCAATACTAAACAGAACCAAAAAAAAAAAAAAAAAATCAAGGTATGTGGATAAACCAGTTGATAACTAAATTTTGACCATTTTCGCATATTTATATTTTCATTTCAAACTTTCCGATTGCATGGTTACACTGAATTTTCGTAGATTTCCATTTATTTCGTCTGACATTGCGTTGAAATTAGGCTGTGTTGTTTACCATAGCATTAATTTCGTAATTATGGTTTTTTTTTCCTTGTTTTCGTTGATTTTCAATTGTTTTTTTTTTTTTCTCCTAACTACTTCGATGAGGGAAAGAGTCGTCGGTGAATTGGGGAAGGGGGTGGGGGGGGGGGGGGGTTGGTAACATAAACTGTTAACTAAGAGAGCTTTAAGTCACAGTAACTGCCTTACCCACTCAAAGTAGTAGTAGTTGTGGTTTGGCGGTTACTCCGTAGTGCTGTCGTGCCGGAGACCGCCGGATAAGGTGATGACATTTTTCTGTCGGGGAGCGAAATTTTACATCCTAACCTGACCAGTCCGTGGCAACAGCACTAGCCATGCGGTGTCAAATTCTCTGGCTCACGACTCTCTGTCTACTCCGATGGTAAAAGAGATAACAGTGACATTATTTCAGTTACTGTGGTGGTGCTGGTAGTAGTTGTTATGGTACTTGAAAGGATGGTGTGGTAAATATTACACTAACCGCATTTACTACTCATTACAATTCCTGCTCCCCATTTTAGTCCGGATATACAGGGATACAAAGGTCAGTTACAAAAAATGTCGTCAGGTGATGACTTTCAAACCCTTCGAAGAGGGAGAGAGCAGTAGTCGATGGATGGGGGAGGGGAGGGGGTGATGACAGAAATTGTTACCTTAAAGAGCTTAACACATGATTTTAAAGTTTTTATTTCTTAATTTGTTTTATTTTACTAAAGCTACCTCAGCTTTATAATTTTGTGTGTATGTGTGATTTAAAAGTACAGTAGTGAACTTTACTTCTGGCTCTTTAAAAAATACAAACAGCTTTAGCATGTGATAACCAAAAAACCATAATTAGAAGTCATAATAATATAATTTAAACGACCACTATAATGACATAATTATATGTTGCATGTTCTTGAGTCGGGAAACCAGATTATCTCTGTATCTGTGCAGGCAATGATTGTGACATCAACCATATTAGACACGTGCGATTTATATTTTCTTTCTTTTTAAAAAAACCTTCGATGGGGGGGGGGGGGGGGGGAGGGGGGGGGGGGGTTTCCATTTAGTCAAAATATGCCACAGCAACGCGTGGGCCGGGCACAGCTAATATATATATATATATATATATATATATATATATATATATATATATATATATATATATATATATATATATATATATATAAAGAGACCGAAACGAAATTTGGAACTCTTTAAAGGGCATAGTTTTAAAACCGAAGTAATTATTTTTAGTTCTAATGTTATTTCAGTTTGAACACATGCCAGTGAAAGCTGGAGAACCAGCAAAGACTTGGAACAAAAATTAAATGCATTCAGAAACAACAGAAGAAAATGATGTATATATTGTGGGATGAATTCAAGAGGAGTAAAGAAATAAGAGAAATATCTATGCAACCAAACGTATGGACAGTTATAAGGCAGAGAAGATGTCGCTATACTAGACACACTCAGAGAATAAATCAGCAGAGATCACCAATCAGGCACTGAAATGGTAAAAAAAGGGATTCAAGAAGCAAGGACATACAAAAGAAACTATACAACGAAAGCTGACGAAAGAGGTCAAAGCTACGGGACTGGATTCCATCCATGATATTGACATGATTGCACAGGATAGGGTTGGGATGAAAGAATAGAACTGTGTTATGTTACATATAATGACGAAACAGGAACATTTTACACACACACACACACACACACACACACACACACACACACACACACACACACACACATATATATATATATATATATATATATATATATATATATATATATATATATTTATTTATTTATGTGTGTGTGTGTGCATGTGTGTATGAATGAATGAAGCATTTCTGAGGATTGAACCCAGATCCTCGTCGCGGCAGGCAAACGTCCTAGCTACAGTGGTCCCTCGATGTATGTTTGTTTGTTCTACATTCCAACTGATATATGTTATGCTTAGACTCGAAAGCTTTTGTTACTGTTATTATTATTCCTATTATTATTATTATTATTATTATTATTATTTGAAATACGAGCCACGTGCTAGAACTTGTGTGAGTACAAGTTAATCACGGTACCGAGCTCTTTTTTGGCAGACCCCTCTGAAGACAAAGCTTCAGGCTTTCCGATCCGCAGGCAAGTGCATAGCCGCTAGACCACAGCGGGTTCCCAAATAAATTTAATAGTATATCTGAAATAACATGAAGTCTTCACACACAATTGTCAAGAGAATTGTTGATGGACGGGGAGGGGGTCTCAGCCACGCCCCCACCCCGTACACTTGGGCAGGGGAAGGGAAGTGTGGCCTTCAAGTGCACGAGCACCCAGGTTAAAGAATCTACGAATTCACGAGTGATGAATATTAGGTGTAAACTGGGTGCACCGCCACGAGCACCTATAATCTCATTGAGGTCGTGATCAACAATATTTAGCCTTTAAATATTCATAACATCAGTACACTGGGGTTGTATGGCGATATTAATGAGCGGAGGTTTTTTTTTTAATTCGCTGTATATTCTATAGATGTTGGTCCAGGTG